ATCCATTTTATTAACTTACTACAAACTAAATATGATTGTCTCCCTTGGTGTCCTCTTTCTCCTTTGCCATTACTTTTTTATTTTCTCTTGTCTCTCCCTGTTGCACTGCTTACTTTTAAACATCCCTATACTCTATATGCCACATGCACACTGATTCACTCACTGTTGCTCTCCTGAGCATTTCCAACTGCCTCTACAAAACACCAATTAGGATGTAGGAGTTAGGATTAGTACTGAAATTCAATAGTTTTATTGATGGAATTACTTCAATCGCGCAGAGTAACAGAATACCTTATGTCATTCAATACCAAATATCAGTCTTTCAAATCGTAGACCCTAGGGTACAATTCTGTAACTAAATTCTGTGACTATACACACACACACACACACACACACACACACACCCACACACACACACACAGTTGTATGCATTTTCTAACATGACATTTTAGTATTTTATTGCACAAGAGAAAATAAAAATAAAAAATATAAAATGTTACATAAATTGCCACATTTTATGTTGAACTGTTTTCCTCAATATCTTAAATTCAACAAATAAACAGAAATTGTGCATTAAAATGTGCAAAATGTGTGTTCTCTGTAGTTCTTATTGTTCTTATTTTCACTTAGATCAACAAAGTATATAATTTGACATATCATTCAATATAATTTAATATTTTCTCTTGTTAATAGCAATAACCCAGTCTTTCTTTTTTTTCTTACCAATGGGAATACTTCTCCTAGGGACACGAAAATCAAAATCTCTTATAATAACAGAAGCTCATGGGCAGCTGCTTCAGGACCTACTCCATTGGCTTTGACATTATAAGCGCAATCTAATACAGGAAACTTTATAATGCAGAGGGGTTAACTCCTGGAAGCCCACAGCACTGCTGATCCCAATCTGCTCTGCAGTGCTTGTGGTCCTCCAGGACTGAGTCCAATATCCCTCCTCTTGTGAATCACCAAACTCTAATCAGCTGATTCAGTAGCAGGGCCCTGATGTCTTTAGGACATTTTCATTATTCAGATGGAGCTCTAGGGGATATGATTTAATCAATTCCCAAAGACATCAAGCCAAATTAACCCTTCTTTACTAATAGTTAGGCTGAGGACTGACAATGCGCTCTATAGAGCAATACTGCGTACACTGTAGACACATTTATGTACAACTGGGTATATGGACCAGAAAGACTCTTAGCACCTTCTCATAGTGTTGCTCCCACCTATGTTTCTCCCTCTTACCAGAATCCTCCTGATAATAAATGAACAAAATCTCATTTCATCTTCCCCCATCTCTCTCAGCAGCACACACTCACAAAAACACACATAGACACACACAAAGTCTGCATAGATAGGTGGAAACTCTCCAGCTGTAGGCTATGCCAGGATATCAATACAATAATTACAATGCAGGGATAAAATGCCTCACGTAAGCCTCTAGCCAAGCTTGGCAATTCACTTAGACACACTTCATTATATGAAAAGCAGGAAGAGGGCTTTGTTTACATAACCATTGTCATGTGGGGAAACTCATATCACCACTGCAGCATTACCAACTCCAACCAATCTGAGCATGTTCACACACGCACACTAATATATATATATATATATATATATATATATATATATATATATATATATATAACCACACGGTTTGCACTGTGTATAGAGTGTGTTGTGTGTATATTGTGTGTAGTGTCTTATATGCCTTTGTGTTGTATGGAACATGGAACTAATGTAAATTAAATGTATAGCTACATATAAATTAAATTAACATTACGGTATTCTGATTCTGATGTAAATGAGGCTTCTCTACACGTGAGAGCAGCAGAAAGTCATTAATGAATCCTCACCTCTAAGGTACCCAATTCATCTCCGTCTGCACTACAGTATAAGTACTTCAGGCTATGACTGGCTAATTCTGTAGCATAAGCAAATTAATAAAGGGACAACTGCTGACTGTAAACTTTGGAGCCCCTTCCACTGGCTTCTCTTACAAAAACCTATTAGAAGAAGGCAGAAATAATGAAATGTGATCCCACGTTTCACAGCAGGTCGCTTACCTGTTATTCCTGTGGCTTTCAGAATCTCCCTCGAACCAAATAGGGCTCCTCACGACGAAATATTCCTCACAGGGCGTGGAATGGGCTCTGTTTCACATGATAGATGCTGATATTGACAGTTTGTCAGAGAGAACCTCATACTGCCGCATGGACCCGATGAGATGCAGCTCGCACGCTTTTCTCTCTGCCAGTCTCTCTCCCGCACGCTCGCTTATGCACACGTTACCCTACGCTTAGCGCACTCACGCACACACATACACATACAAGGGAACTGAAGTGAGCACCCCTTAGTTTAATTTGATACACCCCCACCACCACCATCCGCTGAACTGCCTGTCGCATTAAGCCCCTGATATTTTCATTTTGCATACGAGCAGAAAGATGACGCTTTAACATCTTTTAAAGGGTGAAGTAAAATCCTCATGCCAAGCACAAGGCTGGAGCTGGCTTTGTATTCGCCTGCTTCTTACTTGAATTTTTCGTTCCACGTTAAATGGTGCAGCAGCTACACTATGTCGCCCACAGGGGCCAGAATGTAACTGCTGCACCATTTAAGGTGGAACGGAAAATTCGAATACGATGCTGGCGAATGAGACGCTACCTCACGCACGCAGGCATACAGTGCAGGTGGTCTTGGTGTTTGGTTTATTGACGACAGACTGGAAGACTGCAGTCTTTCACGAAAAGCAGAGCCGCTTTCTCTGTTGAGCTGACAGCAGCAGCAGCAGCAGCGGTGGCGTTTTCTCGCGGTTGGTGTGGCGGTTGTGAGGATGCCAGCAGGCGCGTGCTGTGGTTGTCATGGTGCTGGAGGAGCTGTGGATGCGGTGCCTGTTGGTCGGGCAGCCTCCATTTCCACCGAACTGGAATCAGAGTCGCTCTCATTAGGTGTCCGGTGTTCCTTCTTCCCTAAATGTAGGCCTCACAGCTTTATCCTTTGTGGTCACATTTTGCTGCCAGCTCTGCTAATTAAAGAGGCTGAACAGGGGCTTACTTTATTGAAGGCAAATTCCACGGATATTTAAAATTTTCTCCATATTTCAGTCGTTGAGATATACACTATATGGTATTGGGACACACCTTTTTGCCATTAAATTCAAGTGTTTCATTCTGTCTCAGGTGTATAAAATCAAGCATCTAGCCATGCAGTCTGCCTTTACAAACATTTGTGAGAGAATGGGTAGTTCTATTAAATTTGAGCGTGGTACTGTAATAGGATACCACCATTGCAACAAGTCAGTTTGCAAAATTTCTTCTGTCCTAGATATTCCACGATCAACTGGTTTTATTAGAAATGGCAAGCGGTTAAGACTCACAGCAACTCAACTACGAAATGTCAGACCACATAAAGTTACAGAGCGGGGTCACCGAGTGCTGAGGCGCATAGTGCGTAAAAGTTGCCCTGCTGACTCAATAACTGCTATGTTCCAAACCTCCTCTGGCATTCACATCAGCACAAAAACTGCACGCCAGGAGCTTCACGGCATGGGTTTCCAACCAACTTCATATTAATGCCTTTGGTTTTAGAATGGGATGTCCTAAAAGCTCCTGTAGGTGTAATGTGTGAATGTCCCAATACTTTTGCCTATATCGTGTATGTCATTTAGAGTGTTTTGATGGAAAGTGGTTCATTCTAGAGAAACCTCGGTGGAATTCCCCTTTGAGGAATTCCAAACAAATGCTCTTTCCATTCTGGCAGACTAAAAAGAATCAAAGCCAGCTTTTCAAACCTCTTCTTGATTTCTAAAGTAGGCTAATATTGTTTACAGCGCCTTCCGAGTATGCATTTACATTTAATGGCTCTACTGAGCTCTGTTCTTCAAGGCAATTCCTTTTCAAAAGCAGAAGAGCTGAACCATTTTTTCCCATCATCAGCTGTGCATGAGCACTATTTACATACATTAATGGTGAAAATAAATAGAGCTTTTAAATGTTTGTTCATGTTACTGACTACACTGTAAAAAATGTGACCAATAATACTTAAAAAAATTATGGCAACAAGTGACACGTAATAAAATTGAGTAGATTTTAATTACCTAAACTTCGACTAAAATGCATTAAAGAAGTGAACTAAATTTAAGCAAAAAATTAAGTAAATGTTAATAAAAGCAACAGTTAAAATGTGTTGTACTCAGTAATAGTATGCCACATTGAGTTAATGTAACCCACAAATATTTAGTAAAAACAAATTAATTTAACAAGGAAAATTTAGTAATATCTACCAAGTGAGCAAAATTACTTTATATTTACTCAATATCTGGGGAAAATGTATTTACATTTACTAAATGTCTGGGGAAAACTGGTTTATATTTACTACACTTTACTACAGCTGTGGTTGCCAGAACTTCACCATAAAAATATACTGGCAAGGTATGAGACATTACTGTATGCTTTTTTAGCAGCCGTAAATTTCACTGTTGAGAACTGTTTGTTTACAGTTAATTACTGTGAAAAAAGCATATATTGTAAATGTGTATACAATACATTATTTTAAAAACAACAGGTATACTGTTAACATAATTACAGTCTGTCAGTGATACACAGTATAACTGTATGACACATTACAGTATTTTATTGCAAAGTTCAACTTTACAGTAAATTACCGGCAGCTGTAGTAATTTCATTGCAAACAAATACAGTACAGCACATAAGGAATTACAATTAGTTGGCACAGATTTAACAGTCAACAACTGCTAATGATAAATCACAAAGGAAATAACAAATAATGGGGCGGCACGGCGGCGCAGTGGGTAGCGCTGTCGCCTCACAGCAAGAAGGGCCTGGGTTCAATTCCTGGCCAGGCAACCGGGGTCCTTTCTGTGTAGAGTTTGCATGTTCTCCCCGTGTCTGCGTGGGTTTCCTCCCACGGTCCAAAGACATGCAGTCAGGCCAATTGGACATGCTGAATTGCTCCTAGGTGTGAATGTGTGTGTGATTGTATATGTATGTCTGTCTGCCCTGCGATGGACTGGCGACCTGTCCAGGGTGTATCCTGCCTTCCGCCCAATGACAGCTGGGATAGGCTCCAGCACCCCACCGCGACCCAGAAGGATAAGCGGTTTAGATGATGTATGTATAACAAATAACACTCATTACAATCCAAGGTACAGACTATTTTGATGAACTTTAAGAAACTTTTCTTGCATTAATTAAATGAACAGGATACTCACAAAGCAGTGCTGAGATGCTGAAAAAAAGCAGCATGCATCCATATATATATAAAGGATAAGCAACTTGCCCTGGTTGATCAAGAATAATGAGTCACTGAGTCCAGACTTGACCGAAGAGGGTGCTCATCATGGGATAGAGTTTCACACAGACATGATGTTGGATGATTACTGGAACTTAAAGTGTGCACTGTCACCAGTTCTGCATACGGACTCGCATGTTGACCATCAGGTGTTCACTAGGGACCAGCACAACCCTCTCTGTAGCCAGAAAACCAAAACAAAGCAAAAGTTAGATTAATCAGTGCTTGAGCAGGGAGGCCTTCTGTTGCTCAACTGATCTCCAATGAAGTATACATGGGAGAAACCAGAATTCTGGAATACAGTGTTGCTGGTCACTTTTATAATTGATACAGGGGTTTGGGAGTGAAAGGTTAAAAAAGGTCGCATTTCAATGCTAAGACATCATCAGCATTTGTTTCACCTCCGTTGACTAGCAGCCTAAAGCAACAAACTTAGCAACAAACTACTACAGCCTAACAAGCACGTCACTCGCAACCAACTAGTTCATCTTAGCAACAACCTAGAAACACCCTAGCAACTGCCAACAAACACCTTAGAAACCAACTAATACATCTTAGCAACCACATAGTTCGCCTACATAACAACCCAACAGCCACCTTATGCACCTACACTGTAAAAAAAAAAAAAAATAGTTTGTACAAGAAAAAAATCTAATACCAATTTTCCCAACTTTATCTTGTTCGGTCAACTTCCGAAAATTACTCGTTTTACTGACTGATATCTGTCAACACTAAAATATTTAGTTGAGCTAACATAAGAATATTTGTTGTACTAAGTACAACTAGTCTCAAGCAAAGAGGAGAAGAAGTACAACACAGGTGAACACAGCTGATTAATCAATAATCTGCCACTGTTCTAAGAACGTAAGATATACATTATCATATATTAATATCATATATTAAGCCAATACATACTGTATCATGTCTTGAAAAGTTCACAATTCTTAAAGCTCACCTGTGTTCACATGTAAGCATACATGAATTGATGACACCAGAAATCCTTTAGAAATGATTACGATGCATTAACTGCCTAAGCAAAATATATACAGAATTCAGACATAACGAGTGGAATAGCAGGTAACAGCTACAATGGTATTAACAAAAAATATAAATTACATCACTGTGCTTGATTACATTTATACACTTACTGGCCACTACATTAGGTAATGCTGCCTTGCATTTACTTACTTTTCTATTGAATCAGGTCCATTAAATACATATGTGCACTTTGTAGTTCTGCAATTGCAAATTGTAGCTGATCTTTTTCTCTGCATACTTTGTTAGCCCCCTTTCACATCATTCATCAATGATCAAGACCACCACAAAGCAGGTATTATTGGTTAATTCTCAGCACTGCAGTGACACTGACATAGTAAGTGTGGTACTAGTGTATTAGGTACAGCAATGTTTTAATCACCTCAGTGTTACTGCTGGACTGAGAATAGTCCACTGATGAAGGACTAGAAGATGACCAACACAAACTGTGCAGCAGCAGATGAGCTATCATCTCTGACTTTACATCTACAAGGTGGACTGATAAGGTAGGAATGTCTAATAGAGTGGACAGTGAGTGGACACAGTGTTTAAAAGCTCCAGCTGCACTGCTGTCTGATCCACTCAGACCAGCACGACACACACTAACACACACCACCACCACGTCAGTGTTACTGCAGTACTGAGAATGTTTTATGAATAATACCTGCTCTGTGGTGGCACTGTAGTAAAAAGGGAAGGGGGGGGCACTGTATACAAAGAAACAGATGGACTCCAGTCTGTAAGTCAGGAGTACTGTAAAGATAGCCAGTGAGCATACATGTAGAGTATGCTTGGGAGAGAGAACGAACATCTGAATCCTACCTGTTAAATATACTCAGATCTTAACAGATGTGAAGGTCTCTGGTGAATTTCTTTGCCACTTGCAGTTTGTGAAGATGGATTCCTCATGACTGCATCTAAAATGAAGAAATAAGTGAGCAAAATTAGTAGTAAATGCTCACCATACAAAATATAAGGATAAAGAATCCTGAACAAACAGTAAACAGTATCAAAAATAAATCTACAAAGTAACAAGAAAAAGCAAAGGTATATGCAAAGCAATACAAGCAAGAGCATGTTACTGTGAACATGTCTTTTACAATAGCACACAACTTTAAAGTACTATTGTTTTCATACAACAGTTTTGCAAAGTAAAGAAAAAGGCAAAGCAGGTGAGTCAAACAATACATAATGTTGACAATGTCTTGTCTTGTGTTAAAAATATTTAGCGTAAGATGTACTAATATTACAAAGAGCAATACCATAAAGATACTATAAATTAAAGTACCTGGGACAATTCCTGGCCAGTTGAGAACCACAGGCAGCAGTGGCTGGCTGTAAAAGATAAAACATTTGGTAAAGGTTTAAAATACTATCTGTCAACAACAGAAACAGACACAGGCTCATTTATGTTGGCTAAAAAAAGAAAATATAACATAAGGAGAAGAAACTTTACTCTAACTCTAAGAACTTTAGTGTGATATAGGATTGTTAGCAAGTAAAATCACTTGGCAGCTGAGTTGACCTTATTAAACTAATGCTTTAACTGTACCAGTCACTGGACATCTCCCCCTTAGATTTCTGTTTTTATCCTCTAAACTCGTGTGAAAAAAGCATCGGACATGCTCTGTAGTGTGTGAGCCCGTTAGCCTGCTGGCCACCAAGCTAACACACCCACACATCACAGACCATAGTTAGCTAGCTAGCTAGTCTCTGCGTTTCTGTCATTCAAACCCCAGTCAGTCACTCGACGTCTCCCGTTCAGATTTGAGCCCATCATGGGTCAGCACAGGTTAGCCGGAGTGGACCAGTCGTCCAACAGAGCTATTAATTTAGCCTAAACTCACGCATATGTAGCTGAGCTAGCTGGATTACTTAACCTAGGTTAACTAGCTAGGTTAGCTAGCAACTCTAACAAGTGTACACACTAGTTTATCATACCATAAATTCGACAGCCTTTTCACTTTAAAATTGCAAATTAGCTAAAAAGGTGCCTCTCTCATATTTTGTGAGAGCAAACAGTCATCTAAAAGAGGTGACTCGCTAGCGAGCTAGTTAGGTTAGTGTTAGCTAGCTAGCTAACTTGACTGTTAGCAAGTGATGCTTATTTTCGTTTTGACATATGAAGAGTTGAACATTCACAAATTACAGAATTAGGTTTGAATAAGTATCCGATTGAAAAACTGCTGCTACGTCAAATAAACCAATAATTTATTCACCAAACGCACTTTGAATCCTTTCGTAGTTTTCAGAAGCGGCTATAGACGCGCAGTTGTCGCCTCCGCGGTAAAACGTTGGTGACGGCTCGGAGCTCAATACGGGTGTAATCTGCTCTCCTCAATACAGGTGGAATCTTCCCGTATGTTATTTGTCGACACATCAGAGAACCTCGCCTCTGTCTGTACCTTAACAGTAACATCTGTAATTTAAGTCCAGGCCATGCTTCTATGCTAATCAAAACTAAAATGCATTCGCTAGCTGTTAGCTTAAATGTACGGAGCCCCGCTGGTGACATCCTGTATAAATAAAAATAATGCGTGGCCACGACTTAGTAAGGCGGCTTAATAAGGTGGGAACCTTATTATTTTTATTTATACAGGATGTCACCAGCGGGGCTCCGTATAAATGTGACTTACAGCACAGGAAATTTGAGATGTTTGGTAAGCTGCAGTAACTTAAAAGAATGGGCAACTGCTACAGCGACCTACTTGGAAATTGTTTGTTTCCTAGCAATAATTAAAAAGGTCTTACCTTTGGGAAGTTGGAGGACTGCAACCCCTGAAACGTGTAGTCACTGGTGTCCATGAGGCACAAAATGCGTTGGGCGGAAGTGTGAGGTGATTAAAACCAATGACCTCCCAATGAGTAAAATCTAATCAATTTTCTGCATCGTTGTTGTTCCTGATAAAACATTAGTAAATTCTACTCAATGTATCACAGCCAATTTTATTCAACCAAAACTGTGTAAAATGCAATTAATAAATCATTCAAATTTATTGGATTCAGCTCAGTTTGATTTCTAACTAAACATAGTCTTTTTATTATGTAGAGGTTACTATTAGTTATGTAGTAAATATTAATTAACCCAGTCCTACTTTTTACAGTGTACTCATTCTTCTGGACAAATAAGAATCTATAGTTGTTCAAATATGGAGAGCCTGTTTTTAATGCAACAATTATGTATCTGTTCCTCATACCTGCTTAATCCAAATCTAAGTTTTCTTTAATTCTCCAGGCATATTCAGTTCCATTCCTGGGGGGCCAGCATTCAGCACAGTCTGGTGATTTCCCTGTTCAAACTCACATACTAAACTTGGCAATCAACAGATGAGTTCAATGAGTTGTATTCAAGCAGAAAATCTCAGTTTAAAAAAGCAAGGCCAAAAGTCACAACTGACCCTATATCCCTCAGGCAGCACTGCATTAAAAACCGGCATGCTACTGTGATGGATATAACCACATTGGCTCAAGAAAACTTTGACAAATCGTTGTCAGTAAACACTGTTCATCACTGCAACCATAAATGCAAGTTAAGGCTGTACACTCCTTAAAATAATGGTTCTTCTAAGGTGGCCATGAAAAACTCCCTAAGAGCAACAGGAAAAAACCTTGAGAGGAACCAGGACTCAAAAAGGGGAAACCACCCTCCTCTGATCATTACCTTTTTGCTTTTATTAAACATTTTTAAAATGCTATTTCACAATTTTATTGACAGTGTTTTACACTGAAATTATACTTATATACCAACATTGAAGACATTCTTAGAACTAATTTTGCAGCAACATTCACATGACTTTAATGTACCCACATTCAGAACATTGATACCTTAGTGTCACAGTAAAACTAAAATAATGTTGGCATACCAAAATTGAAGACGGACTGACAACTTGTCATAATAACATTAAAATTATGCTCATATGTTGGATTATTTGCACCCTAGACACTGTGTACTGGCCATTCAAATCAAGTGAGTGCCCACTGTTGGCTAACTGATGTGGACCCAGTTTGGAGTGACCCACGGTGGACTTGTGTCAGGTTATCTGTGGGCGAAACCAGTGATTGCCCATCCAAATCTTTTGAGGGCCCACAATAGGCAATATGATGTGGGCCCTGTGTAGAGAGACCCACAGCAGGCCTGTGTCAGGTTATCTGAGGGCAAGCACAGTGGAATACTGCCCACCCAAATCAATTAAGGGCCCACAATGGGCAAAATGATGTGGGGCCCAGTGTGGAGTGACCCAGTGTCAGGTTATCTGTTGGCGAGCCCAGTGGTGTACTGCCGAAACAAAAACCCTTTAGGGCCCATTGTGGGTTCAGTGATGTGATCCCACTGTGGGCTGACTCACAGTGGGCCAATTCAGGGTTAACTGTTGGCCCTAGCCCACACAGCCCACAGATAGCCCTCAGCAGGCCCACACGGGCATTCTTGCAGGGGCCCCTACCACTGCATCTTGACACACGAGCAGGAACAGTGATAAGTGGCTGCATTGTGGCTTCATCTGATTTCATCTCATCGTCTGTCTGTCTGATTTATAGTGAAGGTGCTGCTGCACCATTTGTTGTGTAAATGTGAATTCAGCTTTCTGGTCTTTCTGGGTGATTTTGTTTAAGTAGTGTTGGAATGACGACTGCTGTTAGGAATAGGAGGCTGTATCCTGATGTAATGACATTGCATGACACCAGCGGGTATAGAAACTGTGTCTACAAAGTTGGTCTACCCACTTTGTGAGTATGTAGAGTTTGGCATGGTCTGGCCTGCATCATGTGACTCCCGAAAACAAAGTCCCACACCGCCTTGCTCGCTTAGCTAACACTGGAAGTAGGTTATTTAAAAATATCTAATGGGGAATGCATTCCAATCACATTTACCTGTTCAACAGTAGGAACAGTGCTGCTCCTTTGCTTTCACCTGCCTGGATATTTGATGAGGCTTAATATCTTGTCAGAATCTGCAGTCTTCTTTATCTTACTATCCTTTTAGTGCCAGTAGGCTGCTGAGAGATCATGTTATGTATGTATTGCTCCATATCAACATTAAGGGTAACATCAGATAAACAGTGAGAATTTTCGCAACATTTATTTGGATATAATATAACTTTGATATAAAGTTCTATATTTGCAACCAGGTTATGGAGTGATTGTGTAGAGAGTCATTTGTAATGTGTTGGTGTATATTTTGAACCGTACAACGCAAATCTTGCAGGACTGAGACTGGTCACTATGTGTTTCTGAGATATAACTTGCCTATTTTACAAGTGATGTGTGATGAAATGTCGCAAAGTATGAGTATGCTAGCAGTACAATATTAAATTTGTGCTAATGGCATAGTATTGGCTTTCAGTACTGCCTGGGAACTGAATCAGCACTGGCCATACAACTGTATAGGTTAGATGGGCCTTTCTGCTCTCAAGCAATGGGAGCAGATACAACTAGCAGATGTCCCTACATCCAGTTCCAAAGTAAAAATTTAATGTAACCCAACATGCTTGCAGAAAATGCTGGGCATCAAGAATATAATGGACCATATTTTAAGATGGTTAAGATGTGAGATGTTAAAGATGTTATAGATCACCTATAACCTACAAGACATGCACAGAGCTGAGTGATTTTGAGTGTGATCACCAAGATAATCAAAACCACTCTAGTGGTAAGAGTTTCTCAAGTAAATCTGAAAGTGTGCTTGCATGTGGACCACCACCATTAGCAGTTTCACAGCGAAACACATTCTCCTGTCTGCATATCACACCTTACCTCTCCTGTCACATTCAAAAGTATTCTCTTCAAAAAGTTTAGGCTTCTGCAAATCTCCCCATGAAACAGTTCCTAATGTGAATAACGTATGACCCATACTGGACATGACTGAACTGATCCACAAAGATGACAAACTAATTATTGTGCTCCTCAAGAGAAATTTTTAAGTGCTCTCGGGACATGCCTGCCAGCCAATGCTAGTTCTTACAGCACTGGAGCTGTGCTGCTGCAGAAAATGCATTATTTTTATTTCAAGGCCACTGGCTGAGGCCCAACAAATGTGTTCAAATTGAAGAGGAGGCACTAGTCTCCACCTGAGCAAGTGAAAGACTGTCTGTGTCTAAGGTTCTCCCTACAGGCCACAAGCCTTTTGGGGTGTAAGTAGGCTCCAGGGCATCAGATGAATTCCTGCTTAGGTTTTCTTTTGAGTTTCTACTTGTCCCAGGAAAGCAGTTTATATTAGCAGATATGCTTTTGCAAGTGTTTGTCCTGCACCATCCCGCAAAAGATAAAGAGAGAATGAAAACGGTTCAGATCTTTGTAGATATAATCACAGCCATGCTCCATACCATAGATCACAGCCTCAAACTTTAGAACACAAAAAGCAGATAAAGTCTGCCCAAAAGGTGATTTAATTCTCTCAGACAGCCTGGTTTAGGAAAAACACCTCCCATATGAACTAGTTCCATGCTGGAGAAAGCAAGATGACAGTGGCAGAGACTGACAATGGGAGAGGATTGCTATACTTCTATGAGAAATTCCCTCATGCAGAATTTCTAGTATTTTTTTAATACTAGAAATTCTGCATCAATCAGCCATCAAGAGATAGTGAAGTGCCATTTCAGAAAGTACAGAGTTGTTTGGTGGTCATGACTGTTCTTTCAAGAGCAGAAAATGAAAAGCTGCCTGAATATAGAAGAGCCATTGCTGCTCACCTTGCAATAGGCTACCACATGACCTTTCAGTCAGGATTATAAATTATATCATTTAGACTTTTTTCAGTTTTTTCAGGATATTTTGTTCACTAAGTCAGATCTAAAGACAGCAACCACAAAAGTGGTCATCAAAGGATGCCTCAAGGATATAACCAAACATAGTACATAGTCATAGGCATAATTTAAATACCCCTGGTCATATTACATGTTTTGTTGTTGACTGAAGCTAAGACAACACATCATAATTTTGGTGCACAATTTGAGTGTATTTGCAGAGTTTAACACATTCTGAAATAAAACATCCCAATAAAATGTTCTATAACCTTTGCACGGGCTACATTTTATGGTTGTTTTTTTTTGTATGCATTGCGGTAATTCGCAAATCAACAGTAATTGTGCATTAAAATGTGCAAAAGTGTGTTCTCTGGATAGAATGTGTACTTGTTTTCATAACATAAACAAAACATGTAATCTGACTAGGGGTGCCCAAACCTGCATATGACTGTACCAGAGCACCTTCTGTATTACAGAGGGTCCACGATATATGCGTGAGATGTCTAAGAATGTAAAGACATGACTCCATAAGCCATGATGCTTTAGGGTGATTTTCTTTGTTACAGCATGTGCTCAGCAGTGCATACTCATGTGGTTTTGTGAATTTCCTGTTTTGAAGGTCAGAGGTACAAGTAGCTAGAAGACATGACATAAGATGTCTCATATAACAAGCTGAGTGGTGTGCTTGCTTCACGTTTTGACGTTACGTTTTTATACACACATAAGCCAAAAGGGAAGACAGATTTCGCATAACGTAGTCGAGTAAAAAGTAAGATATTTGACTTTGAAATGTAGTGGAGTGAAAGTAAAAAGTCACCCAAAATGGAAATACTTCAGTAAAGGAAAGATACACAAAAAAACTACTTAGGTACAGTAACGAATTACATTTACTTCGGTACTGTCCACCACTGACAATTTCATAACTTTGTTGCTGTTAATCAAATTACTAGCATTGGAAACTCTACCCAAAACTCTAGATGGCATATGGCTCTGCTAAACAAAAGCCTTACTTGAGCTCTTTTATATTAGTTTTACCTGGGAAAGAGCTGTAATTCAAGTGATTATTAATGAGGTATGAAACTGAAATCCAGTACAAATTTGCAATGTTTGTAGTTTTTACCAACTAATAATTCCGGTGCAATTCACCTTCTATAATTTGTCAAACCTGAAGATCTGGAAAAAATAGTCCTGTTTGAGTCTTCTAACAGGGGCGAACCCTTACGGCCTTCTATGCCTTCAGAGAAGGCCTATTTTTTCTAAGAACAAAAAAATGTGAGAGTAATTTGTAGTTCATTTTTTGATCAATAGAATCATGCTTGTATTTAAACTCTGCAAGTACAGTGCTACTCTTTCAATGTTAAGGTCTGGATGGAAACAAAAGGGTTTAATTCTTAAAACTCCTAGCAGAAAATTGGCTGATTTGAAATTGTTTTTCTCTGTGGTATCTAGGCAAATATAGCTAAGTGAGCTATTCTATTAGTTAGGATTTCAAGAGCTGAAGAGGATCACTTCTGGCAGAATAAAACATCACTCTAGGCCAGGGTTGCCCAGTCCTGGTCCTGGAGGTCTACTAACCTGGAGTTCAGGTCCCACACATCATTATTTATTTATTTATTTATTTATTTATTTTGAAAACCTGAATAAAACCTAAAAAAAAGCTTGTGACATCAAGCCATGAAATTGGACAAGCAATCTAAATTTTGTTAGCAACATACCCCAGCACAGAAAGGAAGAACCCCCATGTCATTGTACTGTGTTAGTATCTCAAAATAAGTTTATTAAGTTACTGCATATATTGAGAAAGTAGCACATACAATGATATCTTCATAATACATGAAAAGTCTATTTAATAACTTAATGTCTATTGAATCATTTCATTTTGGGTTTTTACATTGGTGCCCAGAATATAATGGCGTCTCTGGTGTGCTCAGAAATGGCTCACTTGATAAGTTTGCAGCACAGGAACTAGACATCTGAAGTGTTTAAAGTCACATTGCAGGGATCCATGAAAGAGTGAAGCTGACTACCAGAAGAATCATATCCACACTGCAACGGTCACTCCGATTCTGACCATTCACATGATTTTTATTAGGATTTTCTGTAAAGCAGACATGATATTTGTTATTGCTTAGAAGATCATGAAACAAATCAAAACAGGGCTCATTTGAACAACAGAAAAATGGTGAATAAAATGTTTTTAAAAGTAACACATTCCACAAGAAGTCTGCACTACGTCACTTAGGTGCAAATACCTACAAATAATGAAAACTATCTGACTGCTTTTTTGCTACATTTCAGTGTTTCTTCTAAGCTTGTTTAAAAATGGTGGTGCTCCAAGTACAATCAAGAACTTGGTATATAACTGCACCATTTATCAAGAACTCACTGAGCCTGCATACAGCAAATGTTTTGAAGAAGACTTCAAATAAATGAAAACCGTAAGTTTGTGGGGATGCAATATAGGTCAGAGGCAAAGACACGTTATCTGATTAAAGGTATTTAATCTAAATTTACTCAGACAAAATTGAATAATCTTACTTTTATTATTGTTTGGATGGTGGCCAGCTTCTTAAGCATACTGTGGTGTCAAAAGTCAAAGAGGAAGTCTACCAGTTTTTCAAAATTCTGCATAACTTTATTGTTAAGATTTGAGCAAAGTCATTCACAGTGGTTTGATGTGAAATGTTTCATTCTAGAGAGACCTAACGAGCCACAATTTTTCACAGTGGTGGTAACAGCAACTGATGTCTATAATGTCTCTAAAAGCTACATCACACCATCACCACACAGCTATAACATGTAATGGTTATGAATATGCTTCCTGACACCTGATGACAAAATTTAACATTTTATACATATTTTTAAGAACGATTCATAGCTCAGAAGTACAGGCAGAGTGTCCCCAAAGAATTTTTTTTTTTTTCTCAAATTAACCACTATTTTACCATTAACGACATTATATATTAAACCTCAGCATACACGTTAGTTCACTGATCATTTTAGAAATGTAAAATATAAACTGTAAAATATAAAAAGTATAAAATAACTGTACTTGCATTGCATATATGGTTCCTATCACCACAACTGAAAGAAATGTCGCTCAGTTTCTCTACAATTAACAATTTCACATCAAAACCTTGTGAATGTTTGTTAAAATCTTAATGACTAAATTATGCATATTCCCTCTTTAATTGAACTGTATATGCTGTATTGCTTGCTGTTTCAGCTTCAAATGTATGACGCTGGTTTTCAACCATCATGTTTTCAAAAAAAAAATTTAAATCGGTTTTGGCCACCAGTAGCCCATGTGATGTCAGGGTTTATCAGAATTAACTTCCAGTCCTACATCTTTCCTTACACAAGACATTAAGACATTAAAGACTGGTAAAATAATCCCAGATCAATGAAAGCTTATTATTCTCAAATAAACCACAAATTTTAAAATCACAAAAAAAGTCTGATTTGCATAGAGACAAAGCGACTTTCATAGTTTTCCTAGATGTTTTTATTGGAAACCAATATGGTTTGCTCATAATTCCTGTTTTGTTTACACATAAAAAGGCACATGTAAGCATTTAAATTACATTTAATAATAAAGACATTTTATGCTCATATTCAGTTACCTAATTATGAAACAGACAACCACAAAAGAAAAATCACAAAACTTCTAATTCCAGCTCACTCCACTTAAAGGATTATACTTGGACTGATTATCCTATCACTTCAGCTGAACTGTATGTTATTTATTGTTACACTCCTAAAAAATAAAGGAGCCAAAAAGGGTTCTTTTGGTGATGCTACAGAAGAACCACTTTTCATTCCCTAAAAAAACCTTTGAAATGATAATTCTTTAAAAAAAATCTTCTCATTTTTGTAAATGAGATATGTAAATGTAAATAATCTCTGTATAATATAAAAGTTCTTTACTAGCTGAAGGTGTTTCATATTAAATCCAAGCCAAAAAAACACTTTTTAAAAAATAAAAGTATAAAAAAGTAATAAAAATAATAGTTTATTTTACAGCTGTTAAGGATTTAATCATTGGTAACAAAGCTCACCTGTTACAGTGAGGTTGAGGAGACGTCCCATGGCTGAAGTTCCAGGATGTCGGCATACTGCAGTACACTGATACAGTGCAGTGTCACTGTGAGACAGATTCTTAAACTGAATAAATACATCTCGTTGTCTGAATCCAGGTTTCTCCATTTTAGTCTCATTAATGTGGATCAGGTATCTGTCAGGAGTAGTGAGTGGCCTACACTGCTCTCCTGGCAAGCACCACCAGGCCTTAAGGCCTTCACACTGCACTTCACTGTACTCCACTGTGCATTTCATAGTCAAAAACTGTCCCTCCATTCCTCTTACTGGCTCTCGTGAATATTTCACATTCACTGCAATACAAAATGAAGGAAGTCAAACAAGAAACAGTAACAAAACCATTGTGAACCATTTAAACGTTGCAGATGTGTTTCAAACAAGAAGTAGTTGAAAAAAGTCATACTTTTGAGCATTTCTCAATAATACTATTGAGTTGAAAGAGTTTACAGCAAAATAGAATGAGCAGGACTTACCAATGCTGTCCTCCGTAGATGACCGTCTAAAAAAAGCGATCAAGAACAAGAACAAAGCAGCGGAGCAATAGGTCGTCATGGCTGCTCTGCTTCAAGCTGTGAGGGAACTGAAATAGCTGTCCTAAATGAGTTTATTCCACCAAGCAGGGGCCACTTCCTCTCACCAGACCACTCTGAAAAAAAAAAACTTGCAGAGAGCACGGAAAGCCTAGTGTCGTTTGCAGGTAGGCATTAAATGATCTGAAAAAAAGGGGTGCGTCAGCCTCATCAGTTTTGAACAAAATGTTATGTAATGTAGTTGATCTTACGTGTGTGTACAGTTAAAATAGACCTTGTGTTCTAAATTTAGTTGAGAACTGTTTCATGTAAGAGCTTTATTATTCATTTCATCTGAGCTACTTGCCTGTGTGTTTTGTGTGTCTGAACAACAAAAACACTTCCTTCAGCACATAGGCCACAAGACTGTACCTGTAACTGTTGCTCTCTGCAAAGCTGCAAAAGATGGTGTATGACGGCTGTTTATGTAGAGGCATAACATTATGTCATCAGAAACCAATAGGAAATAAAATTATATTTAACCTTGTGGTGTAGTTTGAAATATTATTATTATTATTATTATTATTATTATTATTATTAATATTATTATTATTATTATTATTATTAGTTATAAAATGGATTATTGGCCCTGGCAATTTATGAACTTGAAATTAAAACATTCATGCCTTGTGCTTTTGCTCCTTGCTACTTGAAATATAATGGATGATTACTTATGAGCAGTATCAAAAATCAGTTGGCTGGAAATTCATGTGGTCAGTAGAGGTTGTAAAGAATGTGGTATACACTGTGAAACATAAATGGACAAACAGATGAAAACACCAATATATGGATGTTCATATTAAAGTGTAGGCCTTTCCTTTTGACTTCAAGCAGACCTAATATTTCTTGGAAAGCTGTAATTCATGTTCAGAATATTTTTGGTTTTGACAGAAGAAAGAATAGTAGGAAGTAGGCAGCATGGATCCAAGGCCTTCTATTTGATGTAAAAGATGGAAAAACCTGTGGAATCCCTGCATGTCATTTACTCAGTCTGTAATATACAGATGTTTGTTATCATATGTCATACCCAGAGGGACAAGATGAAAAAACGTCTATAAACAAATAAGTAACTTGACAAACTATATCAAGTCTACTTGAAAAAGCTTTGTCAGCAGAAAGTCTTTGTTGTAATGTAACAAGCAAATCATGTGACGGAAATTTACAAAAAGATTGAGGTTGAGTAATGCACATCAAGCATGTTGTCTTGGTGATGATATGATACATGACATGAATTTGATAATATGCTGTAACTTTCCACACACCTGTGTGTAATATTTCTTGAAAAGTTCAGGAACCAATTTTTTTTACCATCATCAGCTTCTGATTTGGGTATTCCAGCAATCAGGGATTCATACAAAGATTAATTCTCTTGTAGAACATTTTATAAACCTGTTGCTTCAGAGTGATTGTTTCCTTGTTTGTCTCTGCCGTCCTGGATTTTTTATCAACCATCTTGTAAGGAAATGGGTTAATCTCAATTATCTAACCAATGCCAGTAAAAAGAAGTAAGAAAACACAGCACAACAAAAATGGCATAAGAACAAAATACAGAAAGCATGAGAGGGGAAGACTAAATGATACTGAGTCAGATGTGTGGTCAGTGAAATACACTTTCTTTATCTCAGTTGCAGTTTAGGCTTAAACACATGTTTAAACCTGAAGGAGTCACATGGATTCTTAAAGTTGCTTTGTCCTGAACACAAACGTAGTGTCTTAAAAATCGCACATTTGTCACTAGATGTCACTGTGTCTGAGGTTTAACTTAGATTTATCTTTAACCTGCTACAGACAAGGGCTTTGCTAGGCCAGTTTTAGGCCTGTTGTATGTGGATGGATATATTGTTTAAAGCATATTACATCATTACATCTGTGCTTAATACAAACTATATACGAAGAGACAGATCTTCTGTATGGCAACTAGATGAAATGGTCATATATATACATATATAAGTGTGTGTGTGTGTATTTTTTCAATTTTCAATTTTATGCCTATTGCTGCACTAAATATTAATGTCAAACAGACATTTTAGGACCATTAAAAAATTCTTCTTGGTGAGCACATCCCCCTAGTTAAGACTTAGCCCCCTTATCTATAAAACTCTAGTGATGCCCCTGGCTACAGACATGGTTTTACCAAGAGTCTTGTTATTGAAGCAAATTTTCATCTCAGATATTTTAGACCTTGCATCATAAATGACTTAAGGCACATTTTAATTAAAGGCCATTTTTTATTATACACACTCAAATGAATGGTGTTCAGTTTAATGTAGGCTAAAAATCTAAAAGACCTGACACATCTTTGAATGGTTCATTGGATTTCTTTTTTGAGACATTTTAAGACACACAGAATTAATCACTTACTAGAACACATACACACATAAAAAGAACTCATAGACTTTGGTATGCACAGACTTTGGCAGGAGTATGGACAAAGGGGTGGATTGTGATATTTCCGGACCAGTACCACCCCCTCCTTAAGGTGTGGCTTCAGTAGCAAAAAATACTACGTGGGAACGTACTACTATGGGGAAACCAGGAGCCATGACAAAGGTGACAGGAGGGGTCAGGTGCACAGTTGACGGAGGCTGCTGGACCAGTGTCAACTAGGGTAAAAGAAACAGAAAAAATCCACTGGAACAATGAGGTCAGGAGTTGCGATGAAGACCAGAAGAACAGGATTTACTTCTGCAACAGAGATGGGAGAAGAAGAAAGGGGGCTAAAAAGAGTACATGGATAGTAAACAGAATACATGAAGTGTTGGCCCTGTTTCCTCCATTTTTGCATATTTGCCACACTAAATGGTTTAAGATCCTCATACTAAATGTAAAATATGAGAAAATGAGGAAACACAAAACCCTTTTTTTTAAGTGATCATTTATTGAAAAAAAAAGGTTTGTAGCACCTACATTGCCCATGTGGAAAAAATAATTGCCCCTTAAACTTAATAACGGGTTGTGCTACCTTTTAACAGCAACAACTGCAACCAAATGTTTCTTATAACCTCTTATAACACATCACTATGGAGGAATTTTGGCCCGCTCTTCTTTGCAGAATTGCTTTATTTCAGCCACATTGAAGGGCTTTTGAGCATGAGCTGCCCGTTTAAGGTCTTGCCACACAGCATTTCAATGGGGTTCAAGGGAGGCCAGTCCAAAATCTTAATTTTGTTTCTTTTAAACCATACAGAGATGGACTTGCTTTGGTGTTTCGGATTGTTGTCTAGCTGCATACATGCAAGCCTCGCTTGCTCAGTTGCTCTTGAGCTTCAGATCATGGACTGATAACAATTCATGGCTCCATCAATTATGGCAAGTCACCCAGCCCCTAAAGCAGCAAAGCATTCCCACACCATCACACTACCACCACCAAGTTTGACTGTTTGTATGGTGTGCTTATTGTGGAATGCTGATGTGATCAAATCCCTGTCTTCCAAATTGTTCCACTTTAGACTCAGTTCACAGAACATTATTCCAAAAGGCTTGTGTGTCATTAAGGTGTTTTTTGGCAAATGTGAGATGAGCATGTATTTCTCTTGGTTAGCAGTGTTTTTTGCCTTGCAACTCTCCCATAGATTCCATTTTGCCCAGTCTTTTTTTAAATATTAATTCATGAAAGCTGACCTTATTTCAGGCGAACGAGGCCTGCAGCTCTTTAGATGTTCTCTGGTTCTGACTTCCTGGATGAGTCATTGCTGTGTTTTTAGAGGAATTTCGGTAGGCCAGCCACTTGTAAGAAGATTCACTACTGTTCCAAGTTTTTTTTTTTTTCATTTGGAGCTAATGACTCTTACTGTGGTTTGCTGGAATCCATTCGAAATGGTATTGTAACTCTTTTCAGACTGATATATTTCAAAAACTTTCTTTCTTATCTCTTTTTGCTTTATTTTATCACAGCTTGTGTGCTGCTTGTTAAGATCTTTTAGCCTACTTCACATTACTGGAAGGGTTCTATCAAAGTGATGTTTACATTCAGTAGAGCTGGCAGTAATGAAGCTTGGGTGTCTAGTTTAATTAATCCTTATTATCAACTAAATGTGGTTAGTTCTGTAACTAAGGAGGCAATTAGTTCTTTCAACAGGACCAGTCTTTTCCTTCAATATGAAATGATCTTTCAAAAATTGTGTTTTGTGTTCATTCAGGTTGTCTTTGTCTTTAAATTTTGATAAAAGACGTTTGCTGAAGATTACGAATAACTACAAAGACTGGGACAAGCATACATAGGAGAGTAATGTGAGATAGAAGGTGAGAGTTGAACTACTTTGAATGGCAAATCCAAGGACAGGACCAAAAACTTTAATATTTAGAGAACACAGTGACAGAGGAAGAGAGAGGGCCATGCCCAATGCTGAGGGCAGTAACAGATCCTTAATTAAAAATTTAATTGAGTTTCTTATGTGGACCTAAATCCTCCCCTAACAGAAGTGGGGATTTAGTGTGTGAATTGTAGTGCGGTTCAGGGGCTAAAACGGGGGTCCAGACATGGTCAGGGAGTAAAACAGAAATTATGACTGTGTCGAGCACTGAGGCTAGAGCGCCACTTATAGATCCAAGTCACTAGAGGGAAGGAGCTTGCTTAGCTGGACTGTACTGGATGTGGATTTGACAGCAGATACCTCAAAGGATGCAACAGCCATGGAACAGGCAAAAGTGATGGGGAGTCCTGGATTGGAACCAGGAGTTGAGGCTGAAGTGCACGTATTCAAAACTTCATCAAGACATATCATATTTGCGAGGGCCAAGGATGGAGCCTGGATTAGCTGAAGGACCAGGCTTGAGCTGTCCTAGGGGTCAGCATAGACTCCGGCAGGGCTGCACCAATGACCTCTGGCAGAGGACCTTAAGCAGCTAGATATTCTGCCAGGGGCTGAGAGGCTTAAGATACTAAGAGCAGACAGAGGGGAAAAAGCAGACATAACCTGTGGATTGTCTGACCAAAGCAAGTTCACACTGTAAAAAATGAAAAGACTACTCAACTCAAAATTATATTTCAAATTATTGTACTGCATTTTTTGAACACTAGGAGTTAACTCAAACTTCTTAGTTTAGTTAAAAGTTCTTCTAACTCACATTTTTAGTAATGCATCTTAGGTAGAAGATATAGAATATATATGCTGTATATATCATTTTCTTAATTCTTTGTACAGGTTACAAATAAAAGGTCAACAAATTTAAGTTGGATTTTTGAACACATGAAAAGTCCTCTAATGTCTGCACTTCATCATCCCCAACATTTGTAGTTTACACAGTTACGTCTCTTTCACTCCATTCCTCTTGCTCCTGTCCTCCTCATGACTCCTACATGTTGTTCCATGATCTTGCTGCTTTTCTAGGGAATAAAAAGGAATCAGTTCCACTGAAAGCCATATATGCCCATGCCATAATACTACCCACTACCGTGCTTGACAGATAAGACTGGAGCTGTTCCTTCACCTCTCCATACTCTTGTCCTCATACATCTTCGTCTCATCTGCCCAAAAGATCTGTACTTTGTTTAGATGATCTTTGGCAAAGTCTAATCTGCTCTTCAAGCTTTTAATACTTACCGGTGGTTTACATATTGTGGTAAACCTTCTGCATTCACTCTGTAAGGCTTCTATTGATTGCTAACTTTGGCACAGAATACACTGGAGGGTTTTCTTGATCTGGCCAACTGTTGTGGAGGGGTTTCTCTTTACCAGGAAAAGCATTGTTCTATCATCCACCACAGTTGTTTTCTGTGGTCTTTAAGACCTTTTGATGTTTTAAAGTTTACCATTTTTTTAAGAATGTACCAGTGGTTGTTTTGGCCACAGCTAATGTTACATTCTCTCTGATGGGTTTGTTTTAATTTCTGATGTCACTGCAGAAATCAATATTCATCAAACCTGGTGAAGTTGTTTTTTCAACTTTCAGCTGTTCAATTTTATTTTAATATCTGGGGCTGTATTACTGGAATTTCTTAACTCTGAAAACTGATCTGTTTAGTCACCATGACAGCTTCAGTTAAGAAACTATTACAGAACAACCGTTCTTAAGTTCATAATCTCATAACTCCAAATGATAGAACAACAACCACACTGTCTGATCCAAAACTGGACATTGGCAACCCTATCTGAAGCTCTTGATCCTGATTAAGATTTGATCAGGATCAACCAAGATTTGGCTGATTTGATAATGGCGTGACTGAGGAGGTGTACAGGTGTTCAGGTGGCCAGTGAGTGAAAATTTCTAATCTAGCCTTAACTTTGATTGTATAAACCTATTCCATTGTTCACTTAAAGTGCTGAACAGCCCCAAAATATATTTTGTTTTTAGAACAAGTTAAATAACATTTTTTTTCTTATTATTTACAGGCTATCTACTTAACTTTCTAGCTCACCATGGCGACAGCTTCTAGCTCTTAGAATTTTTTTCGACCCTTCAGCCAGTTTTACAGACACACATCACACAAACGTTATGTATTTAGAAGAATAATAGTAATTATTTCCAATACATTTGTTTGTTTTTTTTTTCCACCCCTAATGAACAAAACGCCCCTGCACATATCCAAGGCTATACAGCTCAATGTTGTATTCATTTTTCTTGGTCTGTCTGTCCCTTTGTGTAAACCTTATATTTTAGGAGGCTTCACAGATACCTGTTAGGTAATGCAGGGGAAATGATCTAGAGAAACTTACACCCATAGTTTAAGCCAGGCAAGAACCTACCACTAGAGGGCAACAAATTGTTTGCAATAGTGACTCTGCATTACATAGCCATATACAGAAGAAGTCCCTTTAGAAACAATGTGCTTTTACTGTAAAATTAAACAATATTTGTACATGAGTTAAGCATTTACAGAATGATAATGTCTAGGAGCAACAGCATACAAATAATTAATTGGTACAATTAACAATTTATTTGGTAACTGCAAATGATTATTGAAATATATAATTATGTGTGGATGTAAACTCCCATACAAACTCAACTCTAGCAAGATGGCTAAAAATGTTGCCAAATTCTAAGTACCAGTCACTATTCTATGATTGTATTAAGATTTTTTATCATAAAGCCAAAAAGATGTTCAACAATGACTTGGCTTTAAGGTGGAAATCTTAATAAATATTTGGGCTAATATGCTAAAGGAGGCCCTTTGCCTTGTGTAACTACATCTTCACTGTTTCTGCTGTCTGCACACTCACCATAATCATATGTTTTAAGAACTTTCATTATTCAACACAAGATAAAAGCACAAATTGCTATTATGCAATTACAAAAAATTGAGAAACTGAACCAAAAAGTTCCCAGGGGAATAAACCTTAGGAATGCATTGATCCAGATGAAATTTTACAATTATTCAGTAAACTCATTTTTAAGTTAATGAAATATAAATTAACTGTGCATTAGAAGTTGCAGAAAAACGGTTAATTTTAAAAATAGTTTGATCCAGTTGTTGAGTTTACTGTATTTTGAGTTTTAATACAAAAATACAAATATAAAACACCTTTTGCACAGACAATATGTTTTGTTTAAATTTGGTTAAACTTAGCACGTAAACAGTAATTGTGCATTAAAATCTGCAGATGTGAGTTCTCTATATGTACTTATGACCTGGTGTGCCCAAACTTTTCAATATGACCGTATATATCCAGCACCTAGTTTTGTTAATCAATCCTTTAAATTTTTTCTTTTTACTTTTTGCTGTATTTATATTTATTTGTATTCTAATGTTTCATAGTGCTTTTGCTGGCATAAACACACTTACTGCCAAGATAAATAGTTTTTTTTTGGCTGCCTAATAATTTTGCACAGTATAGAGTAAACTGTACCCCTCCAGAAAGGGGCTAAGTCACACTGGCCAGGAAAGCAAATGTGAACACAACATATCACACACACACACACACAAGCATAACCAGACTGTGCTTTAATAACACATAGGTTGACACAAAACCAAAACAATGTATGCTGAAATAAAGCCTGGCCAGGCCTACTCAATACACTTTAAACAGTGTCTCACATTTTCTCAGTTCTCAAGCCTTAATACCTCTCTCAGCTTGGAGGGCTTCTATAAAACATCTGTGCTCCTCCCCCACTTTGTTCATGCTTCCATGATAAGGGGTAGGAGCGCTCTACAGGTGGCTGAGGCAAGAGTGGCAGCTCCGCCTAAAGTATTTTAAACTTAGAATCCTAAAATTAGAATCCTAAATCTCTACACTAGGCAACAGATGCAATTTGTGTCAAGTTGACGCAAATGAATTTATTAAAAGCAGGAAACTGCTATGGAATTACAAGTGAAATAAACTAGAGTAACTAGAGTACATAGAGTCAGTTTCCCAGACTGAGATTAAGCTTAAACCTTGAATAAATTGGACTGTTACAGCCACATTACAAAATCCAGATCCACCACCGTACTTCACAGTGAGGAAGTTCAATAATATATTTAATAAAAAAATAAATAGACAGATACATGCTCTTTATAGGTTCCTATGGTTCCTATACAGTGCTACAGTGCCCAGAAGAATAAGGGGCATAATCAATAATCAATAAGGACACAATCAATAGACAAATCAGTGCACAAACATAACAACAACAACTGAAAACATTCACATTCAGTGGCATGTGGGATGTGGAACATTGTGGATTAATGTAAAAACATTAACATGCATGCAAAACATTCAGTAGTATGGAAGTAGAAATGCTGAATATACAGTAGAATTCTGGAATGATCATTTGTCATATTATGAGTGAGTATGAGTGACAGCAAAAATTTAAGTTTATAAATACTGAAAAAAAATCAAATGGCAATAAATAAATAAAAACACTTTTTGTATATTAAAACCATGTTAACATTCAGAATGTGTTTAAGTGCATTGTTACTAGCTTATGAGAACTGTATTTGAAAAATCCTAAGATGTTAAAGTGCAGAGTGAATGCAGAATGCAGATCTTCCAATGGTGTTAGACCTTTTCTTCAATGCTCCCTTTTCCACATTCTGCAAAAATAAAGAAAATGTCCTTTAGAATGCTTTTTTTTGTATCACCATCATTTTGTCTCGCACAAGTCATCTAATAACAGTTAGAAATACATCTTGTGTAGGACAAAATTAAGATCCTGATTTGTAAACATGTAAACACCTTCTTGCCTAGATATACATACGAGATACAGAAATACTCATTTAGCATTTACTTTGTGAATCTAACTTAACATGTCCCCAAATGGAGGAAGATCAAATCATTGCTCAGATGGCATTCTGTCCTAGCACAGACGCTGTACAGAAGGACATTTTTGTTATATTTAGCACTAGAGTGTTTTTTTTACTCTAAGGCCAATCTCCTAAAGATACCCTGAATTGCCATAGGATTACCAATGGTGGGTCTTTTTTTGGCATTAACTTGCCATCAGTATGCCTTGTTTCTCACTGTGAGTGTTCTGGCAGAGGGATCATTGGCTTCCTACATATACTGACAAAACTGCTAGTATCTGCTGCTAAAAGCAAGTCCATAATGCTACACTCTTAGCAAAAAGAGTTCTGTTTAGTACCAAAAAAGGGTCTATGACTAGCACTTTTTGGTGCTAAATATAGAACCATTTTTAATGTTGTTTAAAGAACCATATCCAACAGGTTTTCCACCATAGAGAAGAACCATTAAAGCGTGTAATAAACCATTTGCTGTCAAATGGCTCTTTTAGTTGTCATAGTTCTATATATTACCATGGTTATGTTACATTATGTTATGTACTTTTATGGGTCCTACAAGGGAAATGTGTCATTTTGCTGCCTAACTATGCCTGATCTGGGAGCATATTATAGATGATAATTAGATACAGGATATCCTTAGGAGAATGGCCTTAAAGTAAAAAAAAAACAAAAAAAAAAAATATATAAACAATATAAATATAACAAAAATGTCCTTCTGTACGACACATTGCCTTGGTAAACCCTGGAAGAACCACTTTTTAAGGGTGTATCACCACCACACTTTGCCAAGAGAATAGTGTTCTCAATGTGGCAGATATGCTAATTGAAAATCTTTTATTAGACTGGCTAAAAAGACAAGCAATCAAAAACAACGAGAAAGCTTCCAAAGATGTAACAAACGAGTAAAGTCATACTACTTACCTTTTACTTTCCTTCTGTGTAAAACAATGGCAATAGAAATGGCACCAATTATACAGATGATCACAACGAAAAAGGCGGGGTAACGTCTGGGTGCCGCATTGTTCTCTGAAAAATAAATGAAAAAAGTTAAACTTTTACGTGTTTATAATTTAAATAGGAAAGTTTTCAAGTGTTGAGATTATATGAAATAGTTTTCCACAGTAAAAAAGTAAATGTGTGTAAAAGGTGTGTTTTGCAATTTTGTTGCCAAAACTGTATGTATATAAGGGAGCATTTTGATGGGTGATATGGGCTTGTACCTGTAGCATCCTGTCGCTGGTCATCAGTCAGATTGATATGTTCACTTCTTGACATTTTCCCACTTTGAGCAACACATTCTACATTTTTTTCATGTAACTGTGACTGTGGCAGTGTGAGGTTTTTTGTAGTTGTGATCGTCCCGTCAACATTGATTACTGTGACTTTTTCTCCTGACTCTATGTCCTTCTCTCTATACCTCCAGTTGACCTCTGGAGCAGGTTTACCCGTGGCTGAGCATGAGACGACAACTTCCTTTTCAGTAGTCTCATCTAAAAACTTTGATGTTGTGAAATCTGATAGACCTGTAAAAAGACAGTAACAGTATTCATTAACATATACTGCACACATTTATTTTTGCCTTCTGCATATGTGTCTGCTAACAGAGATGAGTTCCTTTTAGTTACCATAAAAGAAAATTCTAACAAATATCCCTTGTTCCTCTTTAGGACTGAAACTATGAGTTAATTAGTGACAAGCGCATGACTGCTGGTGTTTCTCCCCAGATTTCAGTAATTAGTCACCTGGATCTGAACTAGTCTTGCATTATTATGTGTCTTGACGTAAACTGTTCTCTATCCTAAGACATTGCAACAGGTGGTGGGCGATATGGCAAAAATATAACATCACGGTATTTCAGAAATGTTCTAGTGAATCATAGTTGTTCAGTGTTATTTAAGTACTGATGATCTGCACAATATGCTCAGAAGACCATATTGTAACATACCGTGATTTAATGTTTTGCGTTAATGATATTGTCATATTGCCCAGCTCTACTTCTAACTGGAGTAGCTGCAGTTTTAATCCGACTGTACAGTCAACTGCAGGGGCAGTGAAAGTATCCAGTGATTTTTTTTTTTCCTGATTTCCTGTCGTTTTCTGACGTGCAAGACAGTATACATTAAAGGCACTGACCATTGAGGTTACATAAACTTTTTTGCTCATGTTTATTATTATTATTATTATTATTAGTAGTAGTAGTAGTAGTAGTAGTAGTAGTAGTAGTATATAGATATGCAAAAAGTGCACAAGCATCATATTTAACGCCACCGAACTGAACAGAAATTACTTATTGCAACAGTCTAATGTCCTCAACATTACGGCTTGAGTTATTTTATACAGCCTGTTAGGCTCGTCGATGATCCCTATCCAATAGGTACAGTATAAAAAAGGTACAGTATAAAACACGCTGAAATATCTCTTCGGACATTATTTCTACGTAGATTTTTGGTGAGAAAATGAGACTTTAACTTTAGGAAAGCCGTTTTAGGCTCAGCATTTTCGAGTGTCATTTCACACATAGCGGAAAAACACCCCGAACAGCCTTACCTTGAACAGTGAGGCATGTCTTTCTCCGCTCGGTTCCGGACGGATACACGTTAAAAGTACAGATGTAGCAGCCTTCGTCCGCGAACGTTATGTTCTTTATCACGATAGTTGTGGCGCTCAGCGTCGCCTCCGTGACCTCCACTTTGTCCAGGTACGAATCGGTCACTTGTTGTTTGAAGTTCTCGCTGAAGGTGACCATGGTTTGGACGGAGTCGTCGTGTCCGAGCCGCTGCCAGGTGACCTGCTTTACTCCAGCAGCGTTTGGCAGCGAGCAGGAGAAAGACGCAGACTGACCCAAATCCGTTAGTACATTTTCTTCAGTCACCAAAGCCGCACAGCCAGCTGTGAAACACAGAACCATTAGAGCGCCGGTTAACACCGTACAACTCTTTACCAAACTTACTTCAAGTACCATTTCTCTGTATATCCGTTCTACAGTGATTTAGAGCCACCCATACGGCCTACATACCCAGTGTTAGCAGGCTTAAGAAAACTGTATAGTCCAGCATCATGTTCGTTCCCCAAATAACCGTTTCCTCTAAACTGAAAGGGAAGCCTGCGCTGCATAGTCTTTATAGTCCCGAAGAAGTAAAACTGAAACAAGACCTGTGACTCAACGTAATTTCATAGTGCTGTTTCCCAGATACGACGCTTGTTTGGAAAGCCCCCCAGTCAGTTCACATGTCAGTTCATCAATCAGTAGTAAACACTGACACGAACCTATATCGGCGGTCAGCATTAATAGTTATTGAGAACAACAACTATTAGTTCTATGAAATGTTTGTGTGTGTGCGTGTGCATACACACACATACACACACACACACACACACACACACACACGCTGCATTGTAGGAAGAAGCCCCCTATAGGGCAAGATGTGCTCATTCCTGGGATTCCTCTAGGAACTTTTTTTTTTCTGTCACTGAATAGTAGTCTCTATATTTTCAATTACAGACTGTAGGCCGTCTGTTTCTCAGCATACTTTGTTAGGCCCCTTTCACCCTGTTCTTCAGTGGTCAGGACCCCCACAGGACCACCACAGAGCAGGTATTATTTGGGTTTTGGATTATTCTCAGCACTGCAGGGACACTGACATGGTGATGACGTCTTGGTGTATGTTGCACTGGTTCGAGTGGATCAGACATAGCCATGCTCCTGGAGTTTTAAACACCTCAGTGTCTCTGCTGGACTGAGAATAGTCCACCAACCAAAAATATCCAGCCAGTGTGACCACTGATTAAGGACTAGAGAATGACTGAATAACAAACTGTGCAGCAACAGATAAGCTTTCGTCTCTGACTTTACATCTAGAAGGTGGACCAACAAGGTAGGTGTGTCTAATGGAGTGGACAGTGAGTGGACACAGTGTTTAAAAACTCCAGCAGCACTGCTGTGTCTGATCCACTCATAGCAGCACAACACACACTAACACACCACCACAACGCCAATGTCACTGCACTGCTGAGAATGATCCACCACCCAAAAATTACCTGCTGCCTGGTGGTCCTGACCAGGAGAGTAGGTCAGAGTAAAAGGGGGCTAACAGAATATGCAGAGAAAAAAAAACTGTAGAACTACAGGTATTTAATACAAGATGTAACAAAGCAATATGTTTTTACCCTTTATATTCCTTAAATGTAACCAATTGTCTTTTTATTGGATATATTACACTGCAGTGTAAAATGCATTTAAAAGGAACCAAATTAGTGGGTGCTACAAATATCTTTTTGGCAGTCTCAGTCTCCTTTGCTAGCTTTGAAATAAGAGAACCGAGCTGTTTTGCTAACACTATAACTGAAAGAAAGCGTAATTTTACAAACTTTTGCAAGACTATCTTGTTTACATCTGTTTTTAAAAACACTGGAGCTGGAGATCCCCCAACAATTCCATCACTCAACAACAGAAACAGATCTTGATTAGGCCAGTCTGTACGCACAGGCATGAGATCTTTTGAAGCTACATTTATGTTTTGTTTTGATATAATACAGAAAAGCTGTTTCCGAACCATAAGAGATCCTTAGATGCTGCAGACAAAATGTGTAGTGTACAGGTACAGTTGGAAAAAGCCCAGGCATAATCATTGCAGACAGGGTGACTAAGCTGGTCTAGTGGCCAAAGCTAATCCACAGTGTCTGGTTTTGTGGAATCAGAAAAAATTACTAAACTAGTGCTGGGAGGGTGAAACCCAGGAAAAACCTTAGTTTTGGCATTTATGTATTAATGCTGGCCTCTGCATCAGGCTAGAAATGTACCAGTAATTTACAATATCTCCTTATTCACTACATAAATGTTTCACTGCATGTCACGTGGTTGCTTGGCTTGTGTTGTGAAAAAACCCAGTCTGCCTTTCCTCATCTGTTTTAGTGTTTTCTTTGCTCTGTACACCCACTTGAACTCAGTAAGGACTAGTTAATGAGATGATGATTTCAATCAGGCATGTAGGGAGCAGGAAAAAATCTAAAATGTGAAGAACAGTGGGCCTCCTGGACCAGGGTTCAAAAATACTTACTTAAACCAACATTTGGAGGTGGTCAGAGATGGATCTTGACCATTTAACACAAGCGTAAACCAAATGCATTTTTGTTATCTGTATACAATCATGTGAGCGGAAATGCGTCTGCCAAGCACGAAAATGAAAGATTATATGCAAGGCTGGAATGAGCCCCAAACCACTCAATTCCAAAGAAAGCTTCCAGTAGGCAAGCTTATCCACTCGTAATGATGAGAAAAGTAAACAAAAGTCAAATGGAAACGGTACGTGCTGACATGGTTTTTACACAGGAATCAATCATATCTCACTGGAAATGCATTTTTAGTGAAAAGTGTAAATGGAATCTGGTCAAAGTTCATCCAGATACGATCCAAACATAAAACACATGTTAATGAAAGGTGTAAACAGGCTCCAAGAGTAACTGTTTTGTTGTTTTGTTTTTTTGGATTTACAGTACTTTAGATATCAACTAACCCAAAAAAATCTTACAATCAAAGGGTTCAAATTAACACCACTTTTAGACACATCACTTAAATCTTTCAGAAATTTTAAAAGAAAGAAAACTGCCAATGATCCAAAGTTTAAAGTGATAGTTTGGCCAAAAGTCACATGTATCCAACTATCTTTTTATGCCACATTTGCCAACACGTTTCATGTCTGAAGTTTGCTTCTTCAGTTTTGCACAGGAGCTACAAGGTAAATTTGGCAAGTAATAGAAGCTTATAGCATTGTGCAAACTGCAGGATTAAATTATTACACACTATTGTGAAGGATGATACCACTGTGATATTATTTCTTTCTTATAAATATAATATTTTTGGATAACGGTACATCACACAGTGCCAGCACTACACTAACATGGTGTACATAAGCTTTCATTACTAGTTATCTACACTAGCCTCATAGCTCCAGTGCAAAACTAAAGAGAACTTCAGCTAGTCTCAGCTATGGCTACAGAGTTAGTGATGCATTAACATGTGACACTTAAGTTCTGATCCATAGAATTTACCCTTGCAATATAAACATGTTTTCTTGCTATTTTACAGGACCAACACAGTATGTATGAAGTGATGCCTAAAAAGTCTAACTCCTATCTTAGAATTATACATTAATACAGTTGTATGCAAACGTTTGAACATCCCCAGTCAAATTGTTTTGTTGATTATCTAACTCATCCTCTATGTCCTCTACTGTTTTTTTTATAACTTACAACTTAAATATGGCATTTTTCTGCAAATTTTAATGCACAATTTCTATTTTTGCTGAGTTTAACATAATGGAAAAAATAAAATATAAAACGTACCATAACTTTGGGCAGTTTCATTCTATTACATAATCTTGTTCGTCACCTTTTCTAAAAAAAAAAAAAAATAAAAAATAAAAAGTAGTGTCCTACATTAATACATCTTAAGTAAGCACATGACAGCATGCTGAATTTTGAACAGTCTGAACACTCTTCTATATATGCTGGTAGTCTACAATTTTCCATTTGATTAAGTAGTAAATTAAGTTATGTGGTAAAATAATTTGTAAAAAATGGTTTAACCTTGCAGAAATCTAATTACATAACACACATGCTTGTTCAGCTGAGAAACAAATTTTATTTTCAAAAAGAATGATTGTACTACCTATATATTAGTTCTATATTCTTGTGCAAAACAGTCTTCTTGTAAAACAGTACAACTGAGCTGTAAACAATACACAAACCTAAACTGCCTCATATAAAAGCTCATATAGCACTAGTGATGAAATGGTTACTGTTTCAGATTTTAACTATCATTAATACCATACTTGATTACCTTGCTTTTAAAAACACATTAAATAGTGTCCAGCATTACCCAAAGTTAGCAACTGTCCCCAGGTCGCAGGCGCGCAGGTGCAGCAGGCAACATGGGATTGTTTGTCAATGTAAACATGGCAGAAGCCAGTGACAGTGTTCCGGCGATTTTTCCCACCTTCTAAGAGGACCAAGCATTTTGTTTTTTAAAAGTGTTAGAAGGAAACTTATGATTCATCTTTGTGACTGCCACCCATTAACTTATTATGCGAATGTGTTCTGATGAATTGTGCTACCTTTTTGAAATGTCCTACCGAAGCGCACATTTATAGGTAGCTCCGTACATAAAACTCCAGATAGGATATTTTGATAGCTTAAATCACCTTGATCAAAAGAGCCTACCAGCATTAAAACTGTGAGGCTGAAGTCAGCTTCTTTTTCACCAGCTTCTTCTTTGCATTTTCCTGTTCCAGTTTAAATGGTGCAGCAGTTATTATAATGACTGTACCGTTTAAGGTGTAACGGGAAAATTCGACCAAGAAGCTAGCGAATTAGAAGCCAACATCAGCTTTGTATTAAAACCGCAGGTAGGATAGTTTGATACTCTGAATGATCTTATCAGAAAATGTTACCAGCATTAAAAAGAATAATTAGGATATTTTGATAGCCTAAGTCCAGTTATCAGGGGGAAGTAGTAATATTAAACGATAAAAGAGTCTGTACCCGAATTAACATTAGTGTTAAGTTTTATTGTATTTTTAATGTTTGAACCGTTTGAACCTCTGACGGCCACATGGTGCCACCTTTAATGTTAGTGCATATTTTACATGGTTTTCATACTTTTACATAAGGTATCGCCTATATTATTATTTAAACGTTTATGCAAACAAAGTGCATAGTGCTGCTAATACTGAAATTGTTTTAAAAGGCTGAAAGTCTTATCGTTTACAGTAGCAGCATGGTGCAGCATAAGAGCTTTTCCCACAAAGTTGTTTGGAGTCAAACCTCAATAATGCTACAGCTGTTTTTAAACATTTATTTGTTCACTGAAGTCCACTGATCACTCTTTGTTCCTGTCTAGGCTAGTTGTACTGTGTGTCAGCACTTCTCATAGTTTGGAGTGAAATGCTATGTTTAAGGACAATATGGCAATATTGTAGGCCTACATAGGGACAATTTGACCTCAAACCCAAGAAATAAGAACTAGGTCAGTGTCACTGAATACAGTCAATGCAATTGTTTTATTGTGTACATATTTACACGATCCTCCAGTACATACACAGGAAATTAAAAAAAAAATCCAATTAGATTGTCCCCACACTTACTGAACCGATGAGTAGTTTCATTTTGGCTGCCTGGATGCCAAATGCTTATATCAAGTAACAAGAAGCAGCCATGACTAAGCATCCCATTTATGTAGTTTTATGACACTGCATAACATGAGAATGAGGCAGCTGATGATTCAGGCAACAGCTATTGAGGGGAAGCGAATGACACAGCATGTCACTGCTTTATTTAGAGAACTGAAATTTAAAGTATAAACTGGACATTCT